GAAATTCACTTTTTGTACTGTATCAGGGCCATTCTTTTGGGGACACAAACTTCCTGTCCCGTACTAGATCAGGCCAATTCTGGGGGGGGGGGGGGGGGGGCACATTTACTGTACTAGATCAGGGCTATTGTAGTTGGGAAATTCACTTCCTGTACATATAAGAGCAGGCCCATTCTTTGGGGACACACATCTTGTACTAGATCAGGGCTATTGTAATTGGGACACAAACTTCCTGATCAGGGACATTTTTCAGGGACAGACACTTCCTGTGCTGGATCAAGGCCAAAACACTATTTTCACACAAAAAAAAGACAGTGACAAATGGATAAAAGCTGATGATTTCCAAAACCTGGTTTTAGGGGCTAAACTGGCAAAAAGGTTGGTTCTGGAAAATGACTTTTCCTGGGGATTGTTATATACCTGTTTTACAGGACTTTTCCTTGGGATTGTTATATACCTGTTTTACAGGAGTTTTCCTTGGGATAAATATAAACCTGTTTTACAGGACTTTTCTTTGGGATTGTTATATACAGTCGAACCTCGTTATCTCGAACTCTTTTAACTCGAAGACCCCGTTTATCTCGAAGTATTTCTCCGGTCCCGGCCAAATCTGTTCTTTATCTTAGTAAATAAAACTCTGATAATTCGAACCACGAAAAGTCGAAAAAACTTGGATACCTCGAAGTAAAATATTGGTTTCAATAGCGTTAATCCAACATAGTATCCAAATTTCATTTTGTCACTTGTTAATTCTTCGATACGAATAAAATCCAAAAGTACGACATTTCGCCATTCTGTGTTTATGAACATCTTTCGTAAGTAGACTAGCATGAAATCAGTAAAAAAGAATTTACGATAAAGCTTAGGACTGTGAAGTTTACGGACTGTCAAAACCATGTTATTCATAATAAAAAACAAACTGCATCAATGTTGATCAACAGTAATCTGTACTTACTGCGAGTCCGTTTAATGATTTGTACACCTAAACAGACGACAGTGCAAACCTGAAAATTGGTCAGAAAGCGTGGTCAAGCATAAAAGAGTTCCACAGTTAAAATCACAACCTAGGACAGCTTTACGGGTTCAAGTTTTTACAGGAGCCAGTATGGCTTTGAAAGTCGATTGAGAGATTTAAGAACAAAATGATAATTGCTGTTGATTACAACGAGTTGAGGAGGTGTCAGGTGTCATATTTGGCTTTAATGAATCAATGTGTCACATGTACGATATAATTTATTTGTGTGTTTTCATTTACAGAATCAACTATGCGTACGCTCCATTACAGTGATTTGTTTTAGACTTGCGCACTTTCATTTCCGCATTGTAAACTACGAGATCAAAGACAGCGGGTAGTGCGGTTTGAAATGTAACACTTCAGAAGTAAAACATGACGGACTTACAAATATAAATGCAGACCTGGAAAGATTTGCCAAGATCTATACTAGCCAAAAACAACATTTAATCACTAGGCCCGTCCATATTTAAAAACGAATTCACAAAATGGTTGAACTGTTTTGATCGCGTTTAAAAACGAAAGTACGTTTTTCTGAAATAACTTACTCTATTTTTGTAAGCGTGTTTATTGTAAAATTACATAGCTGTATTTGTTATATTGATTACGTATATCATTTATCGATTGATTAAAAGCATTAACTATTAATAAAACCAACAACTGCTAGTGCTATGTCCCAACAGCAAATTTCATACCAAATCTATGAACCCGCATAACTCGAATACTCGGATAACTCGAAGTTTTCCCACGACCCCGTCGACTTCGAGATAACGAGGTTCCACTGTACCTGTTTTACAGGAATTTTCCTTAGGATAGTTATATACCTGTTTTACAGGACTTTTCCTTGGGATTGTTATATACCTGTTTTACAGGACATTTCCTGAGGATAGATATAAACCTGCTTTACAGGACTTTTCCTGGGGATAGATATATACCTGTTTTATAGGACTTTTCTTTGGGATAGATATATACCTGTTTTACAGGACTTTTCCTGGGGATAGATATATACCTGTTTTACAGGACTCTTCCTTGGGATAGATATATACCTATATCACTTGACTTTCCTGATTTTAGTAATTTCCCACTTGTTGAATCATTAGCCTGCCATGACGAGGGTCCTATGACTGATATTTTGTGTGCTGAGCTGGATGGCAGATACTACCTGAGGCTCTGAGTGGCTGTACAAAAATGTAATGAATGTAGTTGTATGTTTTTAATGATGATGATAAATTGTCACATGTGTACATACCGTGGCTGTATTGGCCCTTGTGTAGTCTTCAGTTACAGAGTACAATCTGGACAAGCAGGGATGTATTTAGCTTTTAAATATTGAAGAAATAATCAACTTTTGTGTATATATATATAATTATTATGGTGGAATATACTTAAGAAGGGTGACATGAGAAAAAGTTTGAAAATATGTTTAACGAAGGCCACTTTGAATAGAGTGAAATAGTGTTCTAACCTTCTTTAATGGTGAGTTATATATTCCACCATAATATTTTGAAATATCTCAGTTATATCAATGTGGATTTATGTGAAAACCTTTAGATACAAACCTGCAGGCAGACCAATGCATGACGAGGGATAAAATAAGGTATAGCTTGTGATAACAGTGCTGAACAGTCACTGAGTAATCACAAAATAAAGAGAGCTCAAAAGAAAAATGGAACAGCCAAAAGTTACGGACCTCGGAAAATACGGTCTTATCTAGATCTATTTTTGGACGTTCTCAGAGAACGGGATGTAAAACAGAGCAGGCATGTCCAAAAACTTCAAAAGAATCAAATATCTGTTATTGCAGAAATAAGGGGTTCTGTTTCTAAAACAGAAAACAAATGTGACTCTCAAATTTATCAGATTTTTTACTTTAAAAAGACTGGAAATTTCTAACTCAAAGCAAAAAAACTCAAATTATCAGATTTGTTTTACAACTTCAAGGCTCACAATTTTTAACAGCAAACATCAGTTGATTCTCCAATTTATCAGTTATTATGTTATGTTACCTATGTTTTGTTTTTGATCACATAGTTATTCTGGTACGTTTTTTTACAGTTGAAGCAGACCAGCTGTTGCAGCCAAGCCGTGAGTACAAACTAGGTTTACTGTTCTGATGTGGTGTAAGGGAGACAACTCCTCTTAATAGTATTTCTGTTTTTGGTCTGGGCAAAGAGAGATAACTGTTACCAGCGCTGGCTGAGACAAGCTTATATAAAATATGATCTTTAAAAAGGAGAATAATTACTATATGCTGGTATATTTGAACTGGTTGTAGACTTATCTAAAGATCAAAATGTGCATGTATACATTTGTATATGTCCAAATGAAGTTAATAAACATCATATATTACTTAAATATCCTGTAATCACAACATTATTGTGTTATGTATTCTGATGGTATCATGTGAGGAAGATTGCTTTGGATGGAAGTTGAAAATCATTATGAAAGGATAAATGAAAGTTAGATATACATTACATTGCATACATAAAAGTTTGTTGAAAGATAGCCCCCTCCCCTACAAGGGGACACATACTGTTCAGGGTATTGATCCGAGTACCCAACCCTGTCAATACCTTATTCCATGCTGGGAAATAAACAAAACTATTAAAAGAAAGTGAAGAATTGATATATCCAGGTATATTTGATGTGGTTAAAGGCTTATCTGAAGATTGGTGGTCTGGTGGTGATGGTCGGGTGGTGGTGGTCTGGTGGTGGTCGGGTGGTGGTCAGGTGGTGGTGATCGGGTCTGGTGGTGGTGGTCGGGTCTGGTGGTGTGGTCGGGCGGTGGTCAGGTGGTGGTCTGGTGGTGGTGATCTGGTCTGGTGGTGATCAGGTGTGGTGGTCGGGTGGTGGTGGTCGGGTGGTGGTGGTCTGGTGGTGCAGTGGACAACACACTCGCCTTTTACCGTGGTGGCCAGGTTACAATTCCCTGATTGGATGTGATAAGTTATAGGGTCACCTGCCCGACCATGTGGGTTTTCCTGATCGGGTATACTCATTTATTATAAACAAACATGGTAGACAGCCTCTTGGTAAAATAGGCTAATATCAAAGGATCCTGAAATAACTTAATACAGTGTACATATCAATTAGTAGCCACTAACTGACCACATTCATACTGCTTAAGTAATCACTTGGCTGTTCATTTAATCTACAGTCTATAGAAAAGCCCTGCTTGAAGGGGAAGAGACTGTTGCTAAGTATAAAAAGGCTGATGTGAACAGAATTTTAGAAAAATTAAAACAAGCAGTGAAAAATCTGCTATTGATCATTAAATTATTTTTATTAGTGTATGAGGGAAATTTATTCATTTTACAATGAACTTTAATCAAATATGTCTACATTTTTTTCTATAACATAAATGTTGATCTCTCATATATTTATTAATAATGTACCTCACTCAAGGTTAATTTAGAAAAATTATATAGCTCATCAGGAGTTGCTTCCCTTCCATTAGTATTTTGAGAGACTAGAGATGAAATGTTCTGAGGAGCCCGTTAGCTGTTGTGACCCAAAGGAACAAAATTTAACATGTCCCTGACATTCCCAAATGATTTAACTACACATATTAATGGTGTGTATCATTTCTATACATGTACAGAGACATGGGGAATGTTTGCCTGTAGCTATTGGGTATGTGTCTCATACACTGTCAGTACTTTTAATTATAGTGGATGGGTGGTATGTGGATTTAGTAGGATAAAAGGACAGGCGATAAGAGGGGCCAGGGCTTACATCACAATAGCTATCTAATGTATTGTTGTCAGGTCTCTTTACCTCTCAGGCCTCTCATTCAACCCAGGGACACCTCTCACACGAAAATATTCTTTTTAGCTTCAATACAGAAATGTAAAAACTGAAATGATTTGGGTTCATATATCAAATTTAGATGGGAGCATTTGAATCATTCCTATGAGAAAGGAAGTTTCTTCAGGTATTTGAAATTTGAGATAAGCGATTATTGACTGGAAGTATCGTGTGGATCCAGATGGATGGTTAGCATGCGATCTGGTACTTAGTTACTACTTTACCCTGTGGTGTAAATCAGTTACTCTCCGGTACACCTAAAAACTAGTGAAATCTGAGTGTTACTTTACTGCAGGTTATAACGGGGGGGGAGGGACCATAGGGACAGTTATTACTAGATTATTAATTGGTCTGAGAACTTTATGACTATTGATTGACTTGTTTGTTTACACTACAAATGAGGCATGATGAGAGATGTACCAGCCATGGAAGTCCCGGGTCTGGCCATGCTGATACATGTCTGCTAATATATATATATAATTACCTTCCAGACTTGAGTTTCCTTCATGTCAGTCCTGCATATTGTTCTTCAAAAATGAAATATTTTTACCTACTGGAAGTTATTTTTAGTAAAATGTTATAGTAATGGTAGAATTTGGGTAGCGTGCGTCATAGCGATTTGTAGCAGTAGATTGATTTATGTTTTGTCCAAGTTGGTCGGTTACCCGCAGAGATGTTACAGATTTCTTGATTTCAATGTCTTGCCACAAATATTTGCATATTTTACACAAGGATTTGATGAAGCCTGTGTACTCCGCAGGTGATTGAATACGGAAAGTCAACACCTCTCCCCTATTGTCACAACACGTCCTTATTTAAGTGAATTTTGTTATCTAATTTAACTATTTTGAAACAGTGGTGATTTATATGAAACTGTATGAGGCTGCAATTTGGCTGAAATTTCATCCCAATCCCCGTAGTCACTGATGCAGTCTGACACCCTTAAGGAGACCCGTTTAAATCTAAACCCTTTCATTTTCTTTTCGGTCACATATACACTGTCGATCGGTGGATGCGTACATTGATGGAGTAAGGTTATATTAGATGTTTTAAATATTTTTATAAAGTTATGGGAGTCAGTTGACTATAAAACACATGAATATTGCTGGAATGTTAGTGTCACTTTGGTTTATGAGCTCTTTGTGTACACTAGCGATGAGATGTTATCATAGAAATGATGATGAGACTTGCTAGCCAGATAACGGGTGTAGACACCCCGGGAACAGATCAGGTACCCTCAACCACACTTTAAAAATGAAATTTGGTAAAGGATAAATAAACCTAGCCTTTCTCATTATGTTTTATTTTTGGTCCTGTGTACGCATTGGATGTCAGATTATAAGTACAATGAGTTTTATGAGAATCTGTGAGGGCAGTATTCTGTAATTGACAATATACTGACACCCTGTGTCTGATAGCTATATACACACGTTGCCTTAGGTCTGGTAGCTATATACACACTTTACCTAAGGCCTGGTAGCTATATACACACTTTACCCTAGGCCTAATAGCTATATACATACTTAACCCTAGGCCTAGTATCTATATACACTCTTTACCTGAGGCTTCGTAGCTATATACACTCTTTACCTGAGGCTTCGTAGCTATATACACACTTAACCCTAGGCCTAGTAGCTATTTACACACTTAACCCTAGGCCTAGTAGCTATATACACTCTTTACCTGAGGCTTCATAGCTATATACACACTTTACCTGAGGCTTCGTAGCTATATATACACTTAACCCTAGGCCTAGTAGCTATATAAACACTTAACCCTAGGCCTAGTATCTATATACACTCTTTACCTGAGGCCTAGTAGCTATGTACACACTTTACCCGAGACTTCGTAGCTATATTCACACTTTACCTTAGGCCTTGTAGCTATATACACTCTTTACCTGAGGCTTCATAGCTATATAAACACTTTACCTGAGGCTTCATAGCTATATATACACTTTACTCTAGGCCTAGTAGCTATATGCACATTTTACCTGAGTCTACGTAGCTATATACACACTTGACCTGAGGCTTCATAGCTATATACACACTTTTCCTGAGGCTTCATAGCTATATATACACTTTACCTGAGGCTTCATAGCTATATACACACTTTATCTTAGGCCTAGTAGCTATATATACTCTTTACCTGAGGCTTCGTAGCTATATACACACTTTATCTTAGGTCTGGTAGCTATATACACACTTTATCTTAGGTCTGGTAGCTATATACACACTTTACCTTAGGCCTTGTAGCTATATACACTCTTTACCTGAGGCCTTAAAGCTATGTACTGTTACATCTCCATGGGGAAATCTTACCTGTGTGTCTAGATGTTGATGTAATCTTTAATGATATGAAACAAGACTACACATGAAAAAGTGGCTCATTATTTATTATTAGAATTTTCATAATAAAGTAATTTTCAGTTTATTGAAACATTTTAATCTCTGTTTATTGAGCATAAAGTAAATTGGAGAGAAAGCTTGTTGACGGGCAATAAAATCTAAAGTTAGAATGCCTTGTGAATGGGGGCGCTGGGTACTTGGGTGTGTTTTCTAGAATAGAATATTTAGTAATTTATCATCAGTGGTCTCGGTGGGATATGAACTGATGGCATTGTTACGGCTTATTTATGGTTTCATTATGCTCTCTGCACCTTGTACAATTCTGCAGCAGACAATGGACTTCAAATTCTTACTTCAAGTAAATCAGTTTGGGAAAAAAAGGCATCATGTACCTAGAATCTAATGTTTCAACCCAGCATGCTTGCTGGAAAATGAGAGAAATTGCTTCTTAGATAGAGTGAGATAAAGGGTCATACGACTACCTAGCACCAGTAGGGACAGAGACCCTGGAGGCAGCAATATGATTTAATGATTCTTCTATAGAGACATCCTTACACTGAAGGTGCACTTGGTACACCTTCAATCAAGTGCGCCATTCTGACACTCGGGTACACCATGTCCCTCGTACCGATGCCTTACCCGACCATCGCTCACTGCCCTGGCACCAACATCTGAAATCACCCCCACCTTGCTTTTAGCATTATAGAAGTATGAATCATTTCTTTTTGTTGATTTAATAAATGGGTTTCGAAGAAATGACTGCTTGGAACCCAGAGGGATATTTTTGAAAAAGGGGAACATTTATAAGGGGGTTGAGATAAAACAGGTATATAAACATATGCTAAAAATTTAAAAAGTAGCAGAAAGACAGCAGGAAAGAGGCCACAGATATAGAACAGTTCAGAGGATACAGAGATCCAACAGTAAAGGGGTACAGAGATACAACAGTAAAGGGCTACAGAGACAGAAAGGTAAAGGGGTACAGAGATACAACAGTAAAGGGCTACAGAGACAGAAAGGTAAAGGGGTACAGAGATACAACAGTAAAGGGCTACAGAGACAGAAAGGTAAAGGGGTACAGAGATACAACAGTAAAGGGCTACAGAGACAGAAAGGTAAAGGGGTACAGAGATACAACAGTAAAGGGCTACAGAGACAGAAAGGTAAAGGGGTACAGAGATACAACAGTAAAGGGCTACAGAGACAGAAAGGTAAAGGGGTACAGAGATACAACAGTAAAGGGCTACAGAGACAGAAAGGTAAAGGGGTACAGAGATACAACAGTAAAGGGCTACAGAGACAGAAAGGTAAAGGGGTACAGAGATACAACAGTAAAGGGCTACAGAGACAGAAAGGTAAAGGGGTACAGAGATACAACAGTAAAGGGCTACAGAGACAGAAAGGTAAAGGGGTACAGAGATACAACAGTAAAGGGCTACAGAGACAGAAAGGTAAAGGGGTACAGAGATACAACAGTAAAGGGCTACAGAGACAGAAAGGTAAAGGGGTACAGAGATACAACAGTAAAGGGCTACAGAGACAGAAAGGTAAAGGGGTACAGAGATACAACAGTAAAGGGCTACAGAGACAGAAAGGTAAAGGGGTACAGAGATACAACAGTAAAGGGCTACAGAGACAGAAAGGTAAAGGGGTACAGAGATACAACAGTAAAGGGCTACAGAGACAGAAAGGTAAAGGGGTACAGAGATACAACAGTAAAGGGCTACAGAGACAGAAAGGTAAAGGGGTACAGAGATACAACAGTAAAGGGCTACAGAGACAGAAAGGTAAAGGGGTACAGAGATACAACAGTAAAGGGCTACAGAGACAGAAAGGTAAAGGGGTACAGAGATACAACAGTAAAGGGCTACAGAGACAGAAAGGTAAAGGGGTACAGAGATACAACAGTAAAGGGCTACAGAGACAGAAAGGTAAAGGGGTACAGAGATACAACAGTAAAGGGCTACAGAGACAGAAAGGTAAAGGGGTACAGAGATACAACAGTAAAGGGCTACAGAGACAGAAAGGTAAAGGGGTACAGAGATACAACAGTAAAGGGCTACAGAGACAGAAAGGTAAAGGGGTACAGAGATACAACAGTAAAGGGCTACAGAGACAGAAAGGTAAAGGGGTACAGAGATACAACAGTAAAGGGCTACAGAGACAGAAAGGTAAAGGGGTACAGAGATACAACAGTAAAGGGCTACAGAGACAGAAAGGTAAAGGGGTACAGAGATACAACAGTAAAGGGCTACAGAGACAGAAAGGTAAAGGGGTACAGAGATACAACAGTAAAGGGCTACAGAGACAGAAAGGTAAAGGGGTACAGAGATACAACAGTAAAGGGCTACAGAGACAGAAAGGTAAAGGGGTACAGAGATACAACAGTAAAGGGCTACAGAGACAGAAAGGTAAAGGGGTACAGAGATACAACAGTAAAGGGCTACAGAGACAGAAAGGTAAAGGGGTACAGAGATACAACAGTAAAGGGCTACAGAGACAGAAAGGTAAAGGGGTACAGAGATACAACAGTAAAGGGCTACAGAGACAGAAAGGTAAAGGGGTACAGAGATACAACAGTAAAGGGCTACAGAGACAGAAAGGTAAAGGGGTACAGAGATACAACAGTAAGGGGGAAAGAGACAGAAAGGTAAAGGGGTACAGAGATATAACAGTAAGGGGGAAAGAGACAGAAAAGTAAAGGGGTACAGAGTTACAACAGTAAAGGGGTACAGAGTTACAACAGTAAAGGGCTACAGAGACAGAAAGGTGAAGGGGTACAGTGTTACAACAGTAAAGGGCTACAGAGATACAACAGTAAAGGGCTACAGAGTTACAACAGTAAAGGGCTACAGAGACAGAAAGGTAAAGGGGTACAGAGATACAACAGTAAAGGGCTACAGAGACAGAAAGGTAAAGGGGTACAGAGATACAACAGTAAAGGGCTACAGAGACAGAAAGGTGAAGGGGTACAGAGATACAACAGTAAAGGGCCACAGAGACAGAAAGATAAAGGGCATACAGAGATACTACAGTAAAGGGCCACAGAGACAGAAATGTAAAGGGCATACAGAGATACTACAGTAAAGGGCCACAGAGACAGAAAGGTAAAGGGCTACAGAGACAGAAAGGTAAAGGGGTACAGAGATACAACAGTAAAGGGCCACAGAGACAAAAAGATAAAGGGCAGCAGTGACACATCAGTAAAGGGGATACACATATATAAGGGTTAGACACCTCTTTAGGTTTATTCCTGTTTAAGCAGTCTCCAGATGCATATAGGATACTAGTTGTCGACTTACTAGTATCTGTCTTCTTGCCACCCTTTTTCCTTGTAGTGGTAGCTGTAGATCTACTGCTACATTAGGCAGAGATAGAGATTTCTATGATGAATACTTCAGCATTATTTGAGTGGGAAACATATTAACATTAATGTAAACATTAGGGCAAGCTACCTGTATTTTCATATAAATTCTAGCCAAATCTTAGATGAAGTGACAACCCAGGTTTGTGTGGGAGATGTGTGATGCTGTCTGATTTGAGTCATCAAGACAAAACCCTTACCCCACCTAGCTCCCAGTGCTAAACATCCACATCTACATGTATCGTCAGAAGTGACAAATTTAATGGTCGCCTTTTATTGAGTTTGTATGAATGTTAATGTGTATATATCATGTAACAATTGTGTAATGCAACACACACAATGGCCGGGTATACACTTAATCGGGGTGTTCCTACATCAACTTTATTTCCTCAACTCTTTTTGCTGCAAATAGCATTTTTATTTGGTCATTGAAATTGTCACCGATAGTCCCAGGTGAATGGTACCTGTTATCTGCTACCTATCCGGTATGACTCACACAGGTAGTGAATACATCACAGTTATAATGGTGCCAAGATTACATATCCAGTTTCATTCTAGTCTTTATAAAGTTGCTAGAACATTTTGAAAGCAGTGTAAGAATTTAATAAAAACTGATATACAATTGATTTTTGGTCACACAGTTAAGTTGGGTTTTTGTGGTAAAGGGTAAAGGGTTGTTGATTGCTTGGGTACAGTGTAGGGTTGTTGGTGGCTACTGTTCAGTATAGGGTTGTTGGCGGCTACTGTTCAGTATATGGTTGTTGGTGGGTACTGTTCAGTATAGGGTTGTTGGTGGATACTGTTCAGTATATGGTTGTTGGTAGCTACTGTTCAGTATATGGTTGTTGGTGGGTACTGTTCAGTATAGGGTTGTTGGTGGCTGCTGTTCAGTATATGGTTTTTGGTGGCTACTGTTCAGTATATGGTTGTTGGGGGCTGCTGTTCAGTATATGGTTGTTGGTAGCTACTGTTCAGTATATGGTTGTTGGGGGCTACTGTTCAGTATATGGTTGTTGGTGGGTACTGTTCAGTATAGGGTTGTTGGTGGCTGCTGTTCAGTATAGGGGTGTTGGTGGATACTGTTCAGTATATGGTTGTTGGTAGCTACTGTTCAGTATATGGTTGTTGGGGGCTACTGTTCAGTATATGGTTGTTGGTGGGTACTGTTCAGTATAGGGTTGTTGGTGGCTGCTGTTCAGTATATGGTTGTTGGTGGCTACTGTTCAGTATAGGATTGATGGTGGCTTTATTACATTGTAAGCTTGTGGTTGTTGGTGGCTATATCTAGGGTGCAATGAAGGGTTGTTGGTGGCTATATCTAGGGTACAGTGAAGGGTTGTTGGTGGCTATATATAGGGTGCACTGTAGGGTTGTTGGTGGCTTTGGTACAGTGTAGGGTTGTAGTTGTTGGTGGCTATATCTAGGGTTCAGTGAAGGGTTGTTGGTGGCTATATCTAGGGTACAGTGAAGGGTTGTTGGTGGCTATATATAGGGTGCACTGTAGGGTTGTTGGTGGCTATATCTAGGGTGCACTGTAGGGTTGTTGGTGGCTTTGGTACATTGTAGGGTTGTGGTTGTTGGTGGCTATATCTAGGTTACAGTGAAGGGTTGTTGGTGGCTATATATAGGGTGCACTGTATGGTGTTGGTGGCTTTGGTACAGTGTAGGGTTGTGGTTGTTGGTGGCTATATCTAGGGTTCAGTGTAGGGTTGTTGATGGCTATGGTATATAGTAAGGTTGCTGATGGCTAGGGTACAGTAAAGGGTTGTTGGTGGCTAGGGTACAGTGAAGTGTTGTTGGTGGCTAGGGTACAGTGAAGGGTTGTTAGTGGCTAGGGTACAGTGTTGGATTGTTGGTGGCTTTATCTGAGTACAGTGAAGGGTTGACAGTGGCTATATCTAGGGTACAGTGTAGGGTTGTTTGTGGCTATATCTAGGGTACAGTGTAGGGTTGTTTGTGGTTATATCGAGGGTGCACTGTAGGGTTGTTCAAGGCTAGGGTACAGTGAGGGGTTGACAGTGGCTATATCTAGGGTACAGTATAGAAATGTTTGTGGCTAAGGTACAGTGAAGGGTTGACAGTGGCTAGGGTACAGTGAAGGGTTGTTCATCGCTAGGGTACAGTGAAGGGTTGCTCGTCGCTAGGGTACAGTGAAGGGTTGACAGTGGCTATATCTAGGGTACAGTGTAGGGCTGTTTGTGGCTAGGATACAGTGTAGGGCTGTTTGTGGCTAGGGTACAGTGAAGGGTTGTTTGTCGCTAGGGTACAGTGAAGGGTTGACAGTAGCTAGGATACAGTGTAGGGCTGTTTGTGGCTAGGGTACAGTGAAAGGTTGTTCGTCGCTAGGGTACAATGAAGGGTTGGTCGTCGCTAGGGTACAGTGAAGGGTTGTTCGTCGCTAGGGTACAATGAAGGGTTGGTTGTCGCTAGGGTACAGTGAAGGGTTGACAGTAGCTAGGATACAGTGTAGGGCTGTTTGTGGCTAGGATACAGTGAAGGGTTGTTCGTGGCTAGGGTACAGTGAAGGTTGTTCGTTGCTAGGGTACAATGAAGGGTTGGTCGTCGCTAGGGTACAGTGAAGGGTTGACAGTGGCTAGGATGCTGTAACATATTACAAGTCCAACAGTTATATGAGGTTGATTCTAGAGTTGATGACTAATATAGCGATAGATATTGGTCAAGGGGGATAGCATTACCAATAGGTTGTGTCAGAAAATTCTGAATGAGCATAAGGGGAAAAGGGTCTTGAGTTGAAGACCCGCCCAAACAGGTTATGTTACCAAGGTACATAGTTAGTACCGAAGTATGACAAACGAATAAAAACCTGTGCAGGTGACTTATGTGTTAAGCATGACAGGTAACCATCTTTGTAAGATATACTGGTAACTCTCCTATGTATAGTATACAGATAGCTCTCTATGTATGATATACTGGTAACTCTCCTATGTATAGTATACAGATAGCTCTCTATGTATGATATTCACGTAACTCTCCTATGTATAGTATACAGATAGCTCTCTATGTATGCTATACTGGTAACTCTCTTATGCATAGTATACAGATAGCTCTCTATGTATGATATACAGGTAACTCTCCCTGTATAGTATACAGATAGCTCTCTGTGTATGATATACTGGTAACTCTCTTATGTATAGGATACAGATAGCTCTCTATGTATGATATACTGGTAGCTCTCTTATGTATAGTATACAGATAGCTCTCTATGCATGATATACTGGTAACTCTCTTATGTATAGTATACAGATGGCTCTCTATGTATTATATACTGGTAACTCTCTTATGTATAGTATACAGATAGCTCTCTATGTATGATATACAGGTAACTCTCTCTGTATAGTTATACAGGTAGCTTACTGTGTTACATATAGGTACGGGTATATTTCTATGTAAAATATATAGGTAAGTATCTGTTTAAGCTATACAGGTAATTATCTGTTTAAGATATACAGGTAACTCTCGATGTATAGTATACAGGTAACTATCTGTGTTAGATATACAGATATATTTCTGTTTAAGATATACAGGTAACTATCTGCGTTAGATGAGTCACCTACAGGTTAGCTACAGGTGTAAGACATACATGTTCCGTTTCATTTGAACCAACAAGCTTATGTAGCATAATAGCCTATCCTAGGTCCTATAAACCTGCACTTACTAGCCTATCATAAGTCCTATAAACCTTACCTTAACAACCTATCAAAAGTCCTATAAACCTTACCTTAATAGCCTATCAAAAGTCCTATAAAACCTGCACCTACTGGCCTATCAAAGGTCCTGTCAATCCTTTGGTTAGTTGCCTATCAAAAGTCCTATAAAAGCCTATCAAATTCCTATTAACCATACCTTAATAGCCTATCAAAAATCCTATAAACCTTATGTTACTAGCCTATCAAAAGTCCTATAAAAGCCTATCAAAATTCCTTTTAACCATACCTTAATAGCCTATTCTAGGTCCTATAAATCTTACCTTAATAGCCTATCAAAAGTCCTTAAAAGCCTATCAATGGTTTTGTGTACCTGATTGGACCACAAATCTCCTGAGTTGCCTCCACACATACACACAAACATTCATTTCTCCAAATCATATATGGACATGAAACATCTGCCTCTGTTTGGACTCAAGTTTATGTGGAGTGTAAACTCGGAGGAGCCACATTAGGGCAGATTTACATACTCCTGTACTTTAGTCGTCATATACATTACAATTTACTGGTGGGAGAAATTTTAACTGTTCGCTCATGTGTCCTATAAAGGAAATGTGGTATAAACCCAATCCTGGCATCAAAAGGTTACCAGCACACTTGATACCTACACCACTTTCTGGACCATCCGATACCCAGACAGGAAGCAAGGGTGGATGTGATACCTTAGAGACCCACCCTGCTTCTCCAGGATAACGGCTACTAGGACTTCTGTATATATAGGTGTACATGCCTGATTGTAGGACATTTCTAACATGACCCCTGACCTGATATTTAGTGGCGTAACCACGGTTGTGGTGTATTCGGTGCTCGAACAAGATCATCTGACTTCATCTTTTCTTCTGTCAGGCAAAATATGACAACAATGTTTCCCCTCGTTTAAAAACAAAATTGTCTATGAAATTCAATTCCCTCAATGATTGTAAAGTTTATATTTGCATTAAACATCTCATATACATTATCCAAAATAACCCCGCCCTTACATCAAACATAACACCCTTTACAGCACAAACTACAT